GTTTTGTGCTCAGTGCATATTAATGTACTGGAGGACTGATAGGTGGCCTAGGGCCTGCAGGTGTCCTGTCTGTAGGAGAGAGGTTAATATTCTATTGACATTGCCTCAGTTGGAGACTAATGAGAGATATCGTGATCTAACGAATGAGATTAGGGATTATAATAGTCGAATGTCAGGAGAATGGAGACCAGTAAGAGGAAACTATATTTAAATTTTATTTTTACTTTATTCTTTCTCCCTTTCCTTTTCTCTCTCACTCTCTCCCTCCCTCTCTCCCTCCCTCCCCCTCTCTCCCTTCCTCTCTCTCTCTCTCTCTCTCTCTCCCTCTCCCTCCCTCATCCCTCTCTCATAGTTAATGAGTTACATATATGACATACCAACATTACTACGCTACCTGCTGAGAGACTTATTCTCAGTCCATGGGTCTAATATGTATTCACAGATTACATATTTCAGCAGTTCTAGTACTGTTGCTATTGTATTTGTTCATTCCTTTTGATCTGCTCCCAGAATCAGCTATTGGTCTCATTGGTTTGATTGATGATGGACTTGTACTACTAACTGTTATTATATATGTGACTTTATTGTATAGATCTTATGTTACTAACAGAGCTATAAATTAATATTATTCAAAACTAAAAACATTATATTTAAAGCTACACTTATTCAAACAATACAGCTATTTAAAAATTAAAATTTATTTAAAGCACTGTAAGTCTAAAAGTACAGTAAATTTCTGTACTATCTTTTGCTTTTTGGCCAAGTACCGTCTGGATTTCTTATTTCCAGTATTATCATCTATGTGGTCATTACAATTTGTATGATGACATAATATAATTAGATTAAATCAACTGACTTGTTCTCCATATATACCAGCACCTGCTACTGTTTGTTGAAGATTGTTTAATAATTCGAAACAGTTCATCATGTATTGTTGCCATAGTCTACATTCAGTAGTATCAGGAATATTGAACTGTTCCTTTATTACTGTCATTAAACGACCTGTAATAAACACAGTGCATTCACAGCATGTACCATATATAATTATAACTTACTGATTGTATCTACTCCACTAAATGAACCTGTTTTAATATCATTAATGTTAGGATGTACACATAATTTTAAATCAATCAAGTAAACTTCAACCTTCAAGTGCTTAACATATTGTCCATACTCTACTACATTCCTAATAATTAATGAACAATCACATATTAATACTAATACAATAATATTCAATTTATACCTAATAATAGGTCTTGATCCTACTGATAGTCCATACCAACTCAGTAAAAGATTCCATGCAGGCTCAGGTAGTAGTGCATAGTCCTGTCCTTCCTTGAGATGATTAATTAGTTTTTGAGGTACATTGTCTATTGAAAAGCAGCATTAACAAAACAATCAGTTATTTAAACACCAGAGGAACAACTGCAAAGCAAGTCTATTGTGGTGTAAGTAGCTACATGCATAATAATCATTACAATAGACACTACTGTATAGCTAGAAAATTTGATGGAGTAAAACTTTTTCAAATTGAGGTTCATTTTTAGCCTCCAATTTGATAGGGTTCCACAGAAGCATGCACAGGGTTAAAATTTCGCCAAAATTTTAACCTCCAAACCTCTTTTATAGTCAATTCGCCAGATTTTAACATTCCAAATTTTTTAGCTATATGGTATATGTATAACTGAATGAAACTGATTAGTTGTGTTTTGAGGGGCAATGAAAGAAAACTTGTATTGATTAACTATAATACTCACAATTGCTGAAAACACAAATTGGAGTGGTATACCTTCAGAAAGAATAGCAGCATTATCAATTGGTCCAGGATGAGCACGTCCGGCGGGGGCCTGATCCTTTGAATCAAATCCAGTGTATTTCTTCCACTTTTTGAACCATATTTGATTAACAACACTCCTAATATATTGATGAGTACAATTTATTTATAAATTTTATTACAAACTAACCATTGG